TCAATTTTAGTGTATCTAAAGGTTTCTTTCCTTAGCCAAATTTCGAAACTATATATATATATATATATGGGTTTGGTCTTGAAAGGATTAATCTAAAATAGAGTACTGCAACCCGCGGGTCGGGTACCCGTACCCGTACCTGGGTACGGGTATGACATTAACGGGTACGGGTGCGGAATTAACGGGTACGGGTAGGGTACGGGTAAGAAATTAACGGATATGGGTAAGAACCGTTATACTCAACTTTAATGTTACCGTTTTGTAGCGACATACTTGATCACACAGATGATTGGTCGTTCTGTGAAACTATCAACGATGTATATGAAACCGTTCGAAAAAAATGATAAATACTTTCATTTATTGATACTTTATTTCATCTTGATATATTGGGTTTTTTGTGAATTTTGGTATATTAATTATGTCTGTGATCGATAAAGATTCAATTAAAAAAAAAGTTAGATAGTGGTGAATTTAAGTCTTGTGATAAACCAACAGGTGCTAGTGCTGGATGGTGGCAGTCATTCAAACGTATTCAAGATGGAAAAGAAAATATTATTCCTTTTGTAACATGTATTCAATGTAAAACAATTCTATATTACGATGCACAAAAAACTGGTTCTAAAACACTTAAGCTTCATTATGAAAATTGCAAAATAGGACCTGTTATAGCACCTAAAATTACAACTCATTTTACTAGTCAAAAATATGATAAAGTTTCGATCCATTGTGAATATTGGAGTTACGGTCACGAGTAAGAGAAGATATGAGTAGGGTACGGGTACCAAATCAACGGGTACGGGTACGAAACTAACGGGTACGGGTAGGGTACGGGTGTGAAACTAACGGGTACGGGTAGGGTACGGGTACATAATTCTTCTTCGGGTCGGGTACGGGTACGAAAAGTTGTACCCGTGCAGTACTCTAATCTAAATCTAAAAAGAGAATTTTATATTACCATTCCACGCCGTTTAAGTTCATTATAGACGAGTTTTGTTGTTGCAATATCATCATCAACATTGCGATTTTCACGTTCGTCACATCGGCTAATTGTGTCATGAGATTTCTTATTCTGAAATAAAATTTTTTAATATTCATTAACTACAAAGATTAAACGTTTAAATATTATAGATTAACTGAAACAAGCTCAAGTTGTGTACATACATCACACATGGTTTTATTAACATATTACCAAAATAATATTTTGATTCTTCACGA